TCTTTTTTGCAATATAAGTGGTAATATAATTCTGTTTGATATGTCTACCGAATCGTGATCGAGAACATATTTTTCAATTTGAAGAACATTTTGATGTAGCTATTGTGGGAACAGTGGGCATATTCTAAGAAAATTGTTGTCGTTTCATATTTTCTTGTACTTGAATTTCAGAGTACTCTAATTCAAGGAAAAACTTTATTATCTTCATTTCGTTTTCTACATACGTCTATTACCCAAGGTAATTTTCTTATTGTGATTCATCTAATATGTTGATATATTTAACCACAACTTGTGTTGAAACTGAGAATTTTATTGCAGGTCTAACAATTGATGCAAAGTTTTATCTTCATTAAAACGTAAGAGTCTAAATAAAAAAATTAATAACTATTATTATTATTATAATAAATAATATATATTATTTATAAATAATATATAGACGTAATGAAATGCAAGATAATTTAACGTGATATTTTTTTTTCTTTGTCTCTACAAGTCTCTAAAACCTTTTTCTCATCTTCTCTTCATATATATATATATATATATATATATATATATATATATATATATATATATATATATATATATATTTATGTATGTATGTATGTATTATGTCAATTAAATTCAAAAAATATTATTTATAAAATTATCTGAGTGCAACCGAGCGAAGCGCGGAAAATTTCACTAGTCAAAAGAATAATCGTGGCATAGGATTGGGGAGTGATTAATGTCAAAGGCGACAGTAGTTATCAGTTTTGTTATATAAGTAGTGATTAGACACTCCTAACCACCACTAGTTAGTAATGTTTCATACCTTAAGCCCTCACTCTATTTTATTTAGATGAAGGTTCCTTGTCCCAACAAAATTCACACTCTCTTCGGTTAATAACTATGATACTCTTTATATTTTGGGACCTATCAAAATGTTTGACATCCCTTATTATAGTATACTACTTTCTCAACTTTAATGAATTCAAACTCATTAACTCTTAACTTTAAGTGATATTCCTATATATCAAATTTACTTTTTAATTATGATTTTAATATTTTTTAATTATCACTAAATAATATAACAATTTAAATACATGACGATTCATGTACCCCAAAAAAAGTGACCATGCAAATACCGCCATTCAGATCGAAATGATGCAAAAATTATACCTTCTTGTTTTCATAATATATATACAGGTTTATGTTATGTGAGTTAAAATTTTATGTATTAATCTTGTAAATAATATTTATACAATCAACTCATTTAGTTGGTAATACTATTTATAACATTAATTAATAATATGTTATAACATGTTAAATTATAATGATGTGTAAAAACTTTATTATTATACTATTAGCGTAGGTACCTTATGTAGACATCTAAATTTTAACGGATTCAAGATACTACAAGACGACTCTTGAAATTCTAGGAGTCTATTAGGGTTGCTTAAGGCTGTATGGTGGGCCGGGCCCGGGCCTAAATGGGCTAAACGGGCCTGGGCTTAGCTATCCCGGGCTCTGGCGGTCCCGGGCTTCACGGTCCCGGGCTTCGTGGGCTCAACGGGTGGGACCAGCCCGTGACGGGCCTAAGCCCATATGGTCCTGGGCTAAATGGGTCGGGCTCGTGGGCTTAGCGGGCCTAACGGCATTTTTTTATTTTCGGGCTTTTTTTTTTAATTTTTTTTTATTTAAGGCAATTTCTTGTAAACCATATATGTATGTATATATATAAATTGCTCTTATGCATGGCTATATAAATATATATAGTATATATAATATAGAAATCTAATTATTAAAGTGTTTGACGTAAAAGTAAAATAACAAAACAATAGTAAAACTAAATTGGCATGCATAATAAATTAATAACAAAGTACAACATGAAGCATAAATACGTTTAATAATTAGATTTTTAAAATAATTGTTAAAAAATCTTAAAGACGAATTTGTGGATAAATACCCTCAACACAATACTTTATATGCCTCCTTAAAATGCCTGTGGTACACCCTGAACGAAAATTTAAGACTCTTCCACAGTTCTTGCACTTTAATATTTGGCCTTCTTCATTTTCTTCAAGCACTTCATAGTATTGCGAAACAAATAAGCGCACTCTTTCCGAACGAGGCATGATTTAACTTGAAAATTGAGATTGAGACTTGAAGTCTTGAAAATTGGAGATTGAGAGATTGAGAGAAATTTAGATTGAGAAATGAGTATTGAGTATTGAAATGAAGAAGAGGGAGGGGGGTACTTATAGTGTTAGAGAAGGTTTTTAACATTCGTCCAATCTTGATTTGTAAGGATTTCATCATCATCCTCACCACCAACACGAGCATTAAACGTTGCATTAATTGGGTTTCTATATTCATATGCAACTACTAAACTTTCGTACATATAATTCCATCTAGTTGGACAAGGTTTAGGAACCTTTCTTTCTCTAAGGCCAAATTCATCACATTTTTTAAAATACTCTCTAAGTCTACTTCTACGGTTTGAATAAAAAAGCCAATTAAGAGCCATTCTAACCTTTTCAATTTCTAAATTTAAAATTCTCATACCATCACCGACGATTAAATGGTAAATGTGACAAATACATCTCACATGGAAACAATTACTAAATGCAGGATTTAGTGTTGTTGTAAGTATGCCTATAGCACTAGTGTTACTAGAAGCATTATCCATAGAAATTGCCATTATTTTATCTCTAATGCAAAAATATCTACAAATATCTGCAACAATGTTAGCAATAAACTTACCTGTGTGACGTGAATTAATTATTCTATATGCAATAATGCGTTTTTGCATTATCCACTCCTCATCTATCCAATGACTTGTAACAGTTAGATAATCACAGTCATTATTACTTCTACCAATATCAGTAATAATAGAAATCCGGTTAGTTATATGAGTAAATAAATACCGCAAATATTGTTCATATTCATGTTTATATTTATAAATATCGCTCTTAACTGTTGCGCGAGGCCAACATTTATAAGTAGGATTTAAAACTTTTCTAATATAATGCACAAAATTAGGGTTAGAAGGAAAAGTATATGTTAAGCACATAACGGTAACCATCTTTGCTAATTCTTCACGATCTTTATTAGGATCGTCATATAAAATACCACCGGTCACAGTGTTAATTCCTGGTTGAACTAGATTTGAACCTGTACTAGGGTTAACCGCAGTATCTACACTTGTCCTCTCTTACTGCGCTTTCATTTGTAAATATTTAACTTTATCTCTAGGGTGTGTTTGTATGTGCCTAGCCAAACTACCCGTACCGCTACGGTCTCCGGTATATTTATGCGCCAGCAATTTCCCACAAGTTTTACACTTAGCCTTATTTTGTTCTCTTACTTGAGTAAAAGAATTCCAAACTAATGATGTTTCTAGGCGTTTAGAAGGTTGTCTATTAAAAGTAGGGGTTTCTACAGGTGGGTCGGGCGGGGCATCAGTTGGGTTATTAACAGGACTAGTAGGTGAATCATCTAAATCCGGTTGGGTTTCATCTACATCCTCATTTTCCTCATCATTTTCTAAGATAGTTTGATTAGGATAAAGAGCATTCATAACTTCTTCATTTAATTGTTCACCTGGTGCAACATTATGGCAAAATTCACTATCGGAAAATTGAAAACAAGGGTTATCACTATCAAGAATAATAGGAGAAGCAGGACGGGTAACAGGTCTGGGTCGGGGAGCCGGGGGAAGGGTAGTAGGTTGGAGACTACTTTCACCAATTTTAGCTTTTCCCTTACCACCAAACATTTTTTTCAAAGAAAATGCCATATTAATTACAATTATGCAAACTAAATACACAAAAATATATTCTTAAAACTTAAGAGTTGGAACGAGTTTACCGAATTGCCGAACAACTTCTTGAAAATTGAAAATCGTTGAAGACTTGAAGACTTGAATACTTCAATTCACCAACTTCACAATTTTTCACGAAATTGCAATAATAAAATAAGCAATTATAGAAGAGAAATTAGATATAGATTGAGAGAGATTGAGATAGATTGATGAATTGGTGAGTAAAAATGAAAGAATGAGGGGGTATTTATAGTTGAGAATTGGGAAAAAGTATAATTATATAAAGTTTGGGGTTAAAATAAAGTTTGGGGGCCAAATGGCTATTTTTTAAAGTTGCAAACGGTTGAAAATTAAAGGCCAACGACTAGATTTTAAAAATCTGACCGTTGGTCTTTCTAAAAAAAAAAAATTTTTTATTTAGAAAAGAGCGGTTGGAGCCCGTTAGGCCCGGTTGAACCGGCCCAGGCCCGCCTGCCGGTCCCGGGCTCGTGGGCTTGATGTAAGGAACCGGCCCGCCCCGGGCTTTCTACACCACCAGGGACCGGCCCGCCGGGACCGTTTAGCCCGTTAAGACCGCGGGCCCGGCCCGGTCCCAGCCCGGCCCACCATACAGCCTTAGGGTTGCTTGAAGTCTAGTCTATTAAAACCCTGGCTTAGAGGCTACTTTAACCCAGTCCTAGGTCACTCCTATAAAAAGGGTTACATATTCCCTTAAAGAATATCTCGAAAATGGAGATATCTCAACAATTTCATAAACTCGCGGAATATGCACAAAGAGATCAAATATACGATCTCCAAAATTCCATAAAACTCTTGAAATATTCATTAAGAGATCAAAGACATGTCAAATATATCTTATTCAAAGTTCTAGCAATATTCAAGATCCAAATGGAGTGTTGCTACATGCTTCTTGATCATTAAATACATCAAGAAGATGCATATCATCAACAATTCGGAGGGAAGAATAAGGGACAAATAGAGTTGTAATCCGCAATATTTATCAATAAAACTCTTTTTTTTAATAGTTGTTTGTGATTGTAGATTTATTTTTCTGTACAAAATTTGTTGCAAACACCTTAAATCCAATTTAATTAGATTATTAGAGGGGCAAAAATAAGACTGAAGTGGAAGAAGACAAAAGGTATGTAAAATATTTTATGTTCGACTCACAAAGGTATCAGCTTCAATAGTTGCAATAATATAATGCCCTACTAGCAAAGCACCTGTCTCTTTTTCTGTCTTCACTCTTCCCTCTTTCTTTCAATCTTCCTCTGGTAAGCTCAAGACAATATACTGATTAACTTTAGCATTTTGTTTCTCTAGCATTATAGGGTTAGATAATTGTTCCATGTTAGATTATCTAAACGGTGTTCTTTCTTGATTTTTGTTTGGTACATTAAGATTTAGGTTCCATGTTGGTCTACGCATGTTTCTTGGTATTTAATAGCCTTACTTGTAAACTTTATAATCTTTTTTTGATGTTCTAATTTGATTCCCTGGTTCTTTAGTTCTTATATTTTCTCTTTTCTTTTGGGGTAATTAATTGGCTTATGTTCCATGTAAACAATAGCCCTTTTTCCTGACTTTTCTAATTTGATTTTCTTGGGTTACCTTTAAGGTCTTAATTTCAAGATATGAACTTTAATTTTTACTGATGCTTTGTTATCACTTTGTTCTTTGCATAATCAGAAATCAGTTTGGTGAAAAATTCACTGCGTACTTTGAGCAACTTTAGTTTCTGCTAGAAATGGAACCAATGAACTATGCATTGGAAGGAAGAGGCATTCTGTTTCCTGATAATAATGAAATGCCAGTTGGTGCACTTGCAAGAAGTAGAAATATTGTAAAAGATTGGAATTTGAACAACTTTTCTGATGTTGATAAAACCATGTTTGGCACTATCCAAGAAATTACTGAAAATATAGAATTTTCGGAATCAGGAATTGCTGATATTTTGAAGAAATGTGCCACAAGCAACCAAGGGTCAGAAGGTTTAGGTGCTGAAACAGTTGATTCTTCTAGAAAGGTGTTATCTATTTCTGTAAATACTTTGGACTCAATTCTGGGGGAAGTGGAACTTAAAGAGAGATCTAATCATATTGCAAATAGGTGTAACGATCCCATATCATTGCCAGTTGGATTGAAATTGGAGCAGTTGGTTGATCATAGAGAAGTCAGGAGTATATCATCTTCAAAAGGAAGTTCACTTCTTTCTTTATTGCCAGCAGAAAAAGCCCGTTCTCAGGAGGATGACTTGATTGTTTACAAAGTCAAGAGTAATTCGTCGTTAATGGAAAACCCAGCTTTGTCTTCACTGGAACCATTACTGCTAGGAAAAAGATCGCGGACCACAAATGTGGATTCCCAGGTTCCCCTGTGCCAAGTTTATGGTTGTAACAAGGACCTGAGCTCCTCAAAAGACTATCACAAAAGGCACAAAGTGTGTGATGAACACTCAAAATCTGCTAAGGTTATCGTTCATGGCATTGAGCAAAGGTTTTGTCAGCAATGTAGCAGGTATAGTCTAGCTTGTCTTCTGCTTCTTCTGTTGTATTGTTAAATCTCATTAGGTTGGAACGCAGTAGTTGCATGGTCATTGCCCTTGCCATTTAACAAAATTATCATATAACTACATTTCGTTATGCAGATTCATAAATAGTATTGGGTTTGAGTTGGGAAATTAGTTACTACCATTTTTCTAGTATTTGTATGATAAGGCTTACTAAATATCTTTTGTATAAAAATGTCTCTTGTAGAAAGATACGAGTATAGCACATAGAACTAGTACTCTTGTATCCATCTTTAATAAAGTTTTTAGCATCAGAACTTTCAGAACAGATTTTGACCAGCCCAAATGTTAGAATTCCACTTCAACTACCTAAATTTTCCATCTTAACTTTAACTTGCGTCCAACTTTTTCTATAAACTTGACTTTGAATGAATGAATAAAAGCTGCAGTAAGGTGAAGGAATTTAGACCGTTGCAGCTTTCATTTTTGGAGCACTCCAGATCCATTTATTATCTGAATCACCCTTAAGAAAAGCTACCCTCTTTGGTTTTCTGGAAGTATGGATCTTGACTTCAGCTATTCTTCTAGCTAATTTCTATTCATGCTATCTGAAATGTCAGAATTTAATTGGGCATTTTAGAAAAATATTTCGTAATTGATTTAGCAAAAAATAAGTTTTAAATCTATTGGACTTACTTAGTGAAAATAGATTGAAAATCTTTAGCACAATTAATATATTAATATATCATATATTCAAAAAAAATTCAGAATTAAATTGAATAGATGTATCTAGGGAGAATTCGCTTTGAAGAAACTATTCCCTAGATACACATGTCGTGTTATTTCACAATTGAATCAATTTAAAAATTTAAAAAAGACCTAAAGTTAGGGATTTATCAATAGGTAATGTTGCACCAATGCCCAACCAAAGGGCGGCTGCGGTACCAATCAAAAAGACAGTCGTCGCTACTGGACGGCGAAATGGATTTTGGAATTTATTAACATTCTCTAAAAAAGGTACTGTTAATAATCCCACAGGTACTGAAACCATTAAAAGAACCCCCAATAATTTATTGGGACACTGTACGAAGTATTTGAAATACAGGAAAGAAATACCATTCAGGTAATATTTCCAAAGGGGTTGCAAATGGATCTGCCGGTTCACCAATCATTGATGGTTCTAAAACGGCTAAGCCTACATTACATGCAATAGTACCTAGAATTACTACTGGAAAAATATATAAAAGATCATTGGGCCATGCGGGCTCTCCATAATAATTATGACCCATACCTTTAGCCAATTTAGCTCTTAATACAGGATCATTCAAGTCAGGTTTTTTGTTATTGGGATAGGGTGAATTCTTATAGATCCATNCTATCACAAAAGGCACAAAGTGTGTGATGAACACTCAAAATCTGCTAAGGTTATCGTTCATGGCATTGAGCAAAGGTTTTGTCAGCAATGTAGCAGGTATAGTCTAGCTTGTCTTCTGCTTCTTCTGTTGTATTGTTAAATCTCATTAGGTTGGAACGCAGTAGTTGCATGGTCATTGCCCTTGCCATTTAACAAAATTATCATATAACTACATTTCGTTATGCAGATTCATAAATAGTATTGGGTTTGAGTTGGGAAATTAGTTACTACCATTTTTCTAGTATTTGTATGATAAGGCTTACTAAATATCTTTTGTATAAAAATGTCTCTTGTAGAAAGATACGAGTATAGCACATAGAACTAGTACTCTTGTATCCATCTTTAATAAAGTTTTTAGCATCAGAACTTTCAGAACAGATTTTGACCAGCCCAAATGTTAGAATTCCACTTCAACTACCTAAATTTTCCATCTTAACTTTAACTTGCGTCCAACTTTTTCTATAAACTTGACTTTGAATGAATGAATAAAAGCTGCAGTAAGGTGAAGGAATTTAGACCGTTGCAGCTTTCATTTTTGGAGCACTCCAGATCCATTTATTATCTGAATCACCCTTAAGAAAAGCTACCCTCTTTGGTTTTCTGGAAGTATGGATCTTGACTTCAGCTATTCTTCTAGCTAATTTCTATTCATGCTATCTGAAATGTCAGAATTTAGTGGTTATGATGTAGTATGATTGTTGCGGCTGCTACTCCAGCAAAGACTTTTTTGGCCTTTTCCTATGCAGGTTTCACTTGCTGGCAGAATTTGATGAAGGTAAACGCAGTTGTCGCAAGCGCCTTGCAGGCCATAATGAGCGCCGAAGAAAGCCTCAATTTGATACACACTGGGGTAAGCTTAATTTTCCCTTCTCAACTTTGTTAAATGCCGTTGAACTGAGGAGTACTCCAAGTACATTAGTCTTTAAGCTCCATCGATTTGATTCTACAACATAAAACGTCCTCCTCTCCCTGTTTCCCTTCCAAAAGAATGAATTAAAAACCTCCCTTTTCTTTTTTCTAACTATGTTTTAGTTCGAGGGCATGATAATATTGTAATTCTTTGTCGAGTTAATCTGTTTTATGTATATCTATAAACTTGTATGTTGCAAATCTATCTTATTTACCTATTTTTATCTAGTACATCTACTAATCTATGTTTTGTATTTCAATTTCAATTTGCTAGTCACATCAGATAAATGTTTATGCAGACTCTTCTCTTCGCTTCTGGCACTTCCGTGGTTTATATGCCTTGTGGGCAAATTTCTTTTTTTCGTTTGATTGAGTTTGAGTATGTGCAAATGGCAGGTTCAAGGTTATTCGAAATGACTTCACAAAGGAGGGCGTCATTTCTTTTTCCTGAAATACATCCTGGCAGTTCCTTTAGTCAAGAAAGATTTGAAGACCATAGCAAGCACATCAAATTGGAAGAAAAGCCGATCTGCATCTCTCAATTAGCTATGGCAGTGACAAAGAAGCAGTCACCATTAAAAAGCTTCCAGCATCCTGTTCGAGCTACATTTTCGGTTCAAGAATTATCTGCAGGGCAAAACTCCACTTGTGCTCTCTCTCTTCTGTCAGCCCACTCACAACACCATTTACACAACTCAGAATATCATTGTCCTCACCTTAAAAGAGATCATAATCTTCAAAACTTTTGCGGATTAAGTGCTTCGGGAAGCTTTACATCAAATGAATTATATTCATCTGAAGTATTTGAAATAGATAGGATCGCCCAAGTTCTTGATGACAGTCAAGCTGTTTCAACTGATGATCTAAGACAAAGACGTGTTCGAAGATCAAATTCTATGAAATCTAAGCATGACCTCTCTCCAGAAGATGGACCAACCGTGGATTTAGTTCAGTTGTCATCGCACCTGCAAAGAGTGGAACAGCTGAAAAATTCTGACCAAGTGAAGCAGGAGAATGATATCTTCCGTTGTTTTACGACCTCATGAGGATTAAGAAAGCTGCAAGGTGTGTAGCCATGTCCAATTGAATATTAAATGCTTCTTTCTTTTCTATCGTGATTTGGGATTCGAAATGCCTTTGGAGGTAAATGAATTTAGTCCTTGGGAGCTCTGTGTTTGAACCATGAAAATATTGTTGTTTTGTTTTCGGCCCTTGGTAATTCATGCTTAATTTTTGCAGTGTTAATATGATACCTCAAAGCTTTTGAGAAGAATAATCAGGCTGATACAAGAATGGTAGCTTTGCCAACAGGTCAAGAGGCAAAGACAGAATAATAAATGGTAGATGTCTGTATAATTTGTAAGTGTCATTTTAATTTCTTTGCTGCATCAATTGCTCAATTGTATAGAACTATTTTGTGGAAACAACACTGTTTTTTTCGTAGTCAATATCACAGTATATACTGATGTTTAAGCAGAAAATTATAAACCCTTGAGGATGGATGAAAGATACATAAATCATGTGTTTTAAGACCATAAGATTAAGGTGAAACCTTTCATCAGCATTTCGTGTGATGCAACATTCCATTTCCTCATAGAGAAAAGTAAAAATGACAAAACTTGCTCTATTTTTTTCAATTCAACACTTTTGAGAGTGAAGCACTATTCTAAAATATTTAATTCCTTGGAATGAAGCAGTCGGTGATAATGAAAATTTGAAAATATATATTTAAAAAGTTTAATCTATATCCAACAATCGCTGGAACTGAATAAGAAATTTTCAGGAACTAGTAGTGGCTTTGGTTCAACTGAACTTAGATGCTTGCTTTGTGGCAGAAAAGTTTATTCCATGCAAACTAATTGTAATTAAGTTTGGTGCAACTAAACTGGATGCTTTGTCCTGATAAAAGTTTATTCCATGCATGTGTACATGCACACGTGCATACACAAAACAAAAGAGCTTTCGGCATCCATATATTTCAAAGTACATAATTTCTTTTTGACTTACACTGTTTAAAAACTTTAGCTGATCATATTAATTGACTTTGTTTTAAAAACTTTAGCTGCTATTCCAATATATTCACTAGATCTCTTTAATATACTCCGTAGATAGATAGATAGATAGATAGGGGTGTGGATATATGAGTGTGTTTTTGAGGTGGTCCTTGAAAGAGAAGGATCTATTCTATGAAGAACAGAGAGGTGGTGTGGCGTGTGGTCCCCCGTTGCAACATTCCATTTGGTTGAAAACACAAGCTACCCCGCCGCTGCGTCCATGTACTATTCTAGTATGCTATGAAGGAAAAAGAGTTTTTTTTGGATGATTAATTTGGGATAATAGGATTTAAAGAACCATTTGACTCCATATAGTAAATGTGCCAAAATATTTATTTTTTGCACCAAACTATTTAAGTGCTTGGCATAGTCCCTTTTCATGAATTTTTCCTTGTTACCGAGTTCAATTCATTTTTAAAAATTTGTCTCCGAATTTTCCTCTTAAATCTTCCATTTTCCACGTGGTTAATAGGCAATTTGTGTATTTACACTGTCTTTGGTGGGTAGAGTTATTAATGGAGATGTGCGCAAGCTAATCTAAACACCACGAAAAATAATGTGATGTAAAACAACAATTTTAAAGAATATCTTCTATACGAACTATTTCCATAAGGAATCTTTAGAAAGAGATGAAGAAGCTATAGTAATAGAAGATAATCCATTATTTTGAAGGAAAAAAGAAAAGAAGAATTATTACAATCATTATTCATTCCTCCATATTATTCCCATCTCCTGGAGCCAACAACCTCAACCTATTCAAGCGAATGTTAGTTGGAAAGCTAAATATGCAGTCAAAAGTACCTACGTTTAAATAAAAGAGGACTTTTTATGCGTAGCCCACATTCGTTCACTTTTTATATATAATTGTGAATTATAATATCAGTTGCAAAATGAAACTGCAAATGATTACAGCGATGAGATTGTAGATGGGATTGAATAATTTTTTATCATATAATTGATTCATACATAGTTGTCATTTTTGGAATTTTGACCTAACAAATTAAATCATTATTTATGAATGAAAAAAGTCGAGATGTTTGAGTGGTTAGAGTTTGTGGGCAGAGTATCGGATTGGGAAGAGGGCTAAGAATAACATAATTGGATAATACTATTATCATTTGTTTTGTTCATAGGATAGGACGTCGGACTAGAACTGTGATTAAGTATTGTATTACATGAATGTGGACAACAACTCCTTAAGCTCAAACTAATTAAGACTCCTTTCTTAAGTAATAATCATTTTTTCTTTACTTTCTTTTTTCATTTATGTTATGGGTCAATCCCTGCAGAAATTAACAGGAAAAATGACATGGTATGAAATAGTTGGGCAATAAGTGAGTGAAGCTAGAACTGTATTTTTTTTTTTCCTCTTTAAAGGAATGAAATATTTCTTTACAGACATTCTGATTCAAAGGATTTAAGTCTACACTAATAGTATTCAAATCCTTTACACTACCAATATATAATAATTAGTAGTAGCAGGTTATGTGGAGATGTTTGGAGGCTATAGGGGCACGTGTTGCCTACCTTAGGTTGATTAAGGACATGTACGATGGAGTAAAGACTCAAGTGAGGATGGTAGGTGGGGATTCGGACCATTTTCCGGTGGTGATGGGGTTGCATCAGGGGTCGGCACTCAACCCTTTTTTGTTTGCTCTGGTGATGGATATACTGACGCGCCACATCCAAGGGGAGGTGCTGTAGTGCATGCTGTTTGCAGATGATATTGTATTGATTGACGAGACGCGAGATGGTGTGAACGCGCAATTAGAGGTATAGAGGCAGACCCTGGAATCTAAATGTTTCAAGTTGAGCAGGACCAAGGCAGAATACTTGGAGTGTAAGTTCAGTGGCGAGACTCAAGGAGCGGAAGGGGAGGTGAGGCTGGACTCGCAGATCATCCCTAGGAGAGGGAGTTTTAAGTACCTTGGGTGTATTATTCAGGGGGATGGAGAGATTGATGAAGATTTTACTCATCGTATTGGGGCAGGATGGATGAAATGGAGACTCGCTTCCGGTGTTTTGTGTGATAAGAATGTACCACTGAAACTTAAGGGTAAGTTCTACAGAGTGGTAGTCAGACCAACGATGTTGTATGGGGCAGAGTGTTGGCCAGTCAAGATCGCTCATGTCCAGAAGATTAAGGTAGTAGAGATGAGGATGTTCAGATAGATGTGCGGGCACACCATATTAGATAGGATCAGAAATAAGGTTATTCACGACAAGGTGGGTATGGCCCCTATTAAGGACAAGATGCGGGGCACGACTTAGGTGGTTTGGCCATGTGAGGAGTAGGGGCACAGACGCCCCGGTGAGGAGGTGTGAGAGGTTGACATTGGAGGGCCTACGGAGAGGTAGAGGTAGGCCAAAGAAGAGGTGGCAAGAGGTGATTAGGCAAGACACGGCGCAGCTTCAGCTGATCGAGGACATGACCCTTGATAGGAAAGTATGGAGGTCGAGGATTAGGGTAGTAGAGTAGGTAGTCTAGAGTGTTCATAATAGTAGTATTGGCACGCAGTCTTGCTTTCTGTTAGTAGCAGGTTTTATGACTAACCGTTATTTCTTTCATTGTTGATCACCTTACTATCTGTTATTTTTATTCTACTTTTATATGGCTTCTTGGTACTGTCCCTTCTTGTCTATATTTTCATTAATGTGGTGCTTATGCTTTTCTAAGCCGAGGGTCTATTGGAAACAACCTCTCTATCCTCACAAGGTAGGGTAAGGTCTGCGTACACACTACCGTCCCGAGACCCCACGGTATGGGTTATTACTGTGTATGTTGTTGTTGTTGTTGTTGTAGCAGGTTATGTATCCTTTTTCTGAGGTTATTTGTAATGACTCGACTGGTCGTTTTGAGCATTTGCACTTTGCTCGATAGTTTACATGCATGAGTAGCTCCGTATGATGTATTTTGACTTATGTGAATCGTCGGTTTTTTTTCAAGTTATTCGGAATTGATTTAGGAGAAAGATTCTCAACTAAGAAGCATTAAATTAGAAGAGTTGATCAAGTTTGACTTTTTTGTATTTGACCTCGGATTGGAGTTTTGATGGTTCCGTTAGCTCTGTTGGGTGATTTTGGACTTAGGAGCGTATCCGAATTGTGATTTGGAGGTCCGTAGTTGAATTTGGCCTGAAATGATGAAAGTTGGATTTTTTGGAACGTTTGACCTGGAGTGGACTTCTTGATATTGGATTCGGATTCTAATTCCCGGAGTTGGAATAGCTTCGTTATGTCATTTGGGACTTGTGTGCAAAGTTTGGGTTCATTCCGGGTTGATTGCTATATTTCGGCACGAGTTGTGGAAGTTGAAAAGTTCAAAACTCATCAAGTTTGAATTTAGGCGTGATTCGTCGTTTTGATGTTGTTATGTATGTTTTAAGGCCTCGAGTAGGTCCTTGTTATGTTATAGGACTTGTTGGTATACTTGGGCAGGGTCCTGAGGGGCTCGGGCGTGTTTCAGATTGATTTCGGATTATTTTTCTTCATGTTGTTATTGCTGGTTGCTGCTGATTCTGGTGTGACTGCACCTGCAGCTAGTTTGCGCAGGTGCGATGGTCGCAGAAGCGCTCGAGGATATTACTGTGTATGTTGTTGTTGTTGTAGCAGGTTATGTATCCTCTTTTTGAGGTTATTTGTAATGACTCGACCGGTCGTTTTGAGCATTTGCACTTCGCTCGATAGTTTACGGGTATGAGTAGCTCCGTATGATGTATTTTGACTTATGTTAATCGTCCATTTTGATTTTCAGGTTATTCGGAATTGATTTGGGAGAAAGTTTCTCAACTAAGAAGCTACCAAGTTTGACTTTTTAGTATTTGACCTCGGCTTAGAGGTTTGATGGATCTGTTTAGGGCTGCTTATCGGGCGGATTGGGCGGTTATTTACTTTTAACGGTTTGTCTTATCGGTTATCATCTTTTAAATGTAATAATCCGCTAGTCGCCCGATAAGATATCGGGCGGATTGGTATCAGTTTAGCTTTTATCGGGCGGTTATCAGGCGGTTTATCAGCCTAATTCAATCTATATTGCGTTCATTAATTGTTTGCTGGCAACCTAGCTTACAAATTCAGAATAGGAAATTACACAATGAGTCCAGACATACATGTCTATTAACGCCTACATAAGAATGATGTAGTGTGTCATGTGTTGTAGAGTGAAAAAAGCAAAACACATTGTAAGCTACATTACATCCCAAAGCAGACTACATATGATATGAGTCCAGACATACATGTCTGTTAACGCCTACCATTAAATCCCAAAGCAGACTACATTACATGAGTCCAGACATACATATGTCTGTTAACGCCTAGCATACAAATTCAGAATAGGAAATTACAGTCTATATTCAAAGTGAGTCCAGAATACATATTTCAAAATGATTAATTAAGTGAGCAGACTACACAAAAATGTTCGGCCTGCAGCTAATGCCTGAC